CTGATATCAACCTAAATTTCCAAGAATTAATGGGGTCTCTTGTAAGAACGAAGTCCAAACAATTTTTCTGCCAGAAACGCCACATTATTTAAGAGAAAAAAGTTAGGTGTCAATAAAAACGGTCTATAATTAAAGGAATTGCACAAACCGTTGTCTGATAAATCATTTCAGTTTGTTAATAATTTCGACTAACAGTACCTTTTCTTTTTGGACCAGGTTTTTATATAATTCAAGCATTATTTCGTGAACCTTTGAAAGTTGATTGGGGGCTAGAATACTACCAGAAAGTCTAGACTTTGCAAACACTCATTTGTAATTTCAATTACATTCCTCTTCACGGGAGCAAACCATTCAACGCTCAGATGCGATAAAGCCTCTCGTGACGAAGACTCCCAACCCTTCTCCTTTTCTTGAAGCCACCTCACACAAAAGAGTTGGAATTCACTGAAAAATTTTCAGCTCTCAGTACTTCGGCCGTTAGCCAATCCTTTGTGATAGGAATGACTTTCAACTGCATTTCTAATATTCATACTATTTGGTCATCTTATTTCTCGTTCAAACATTGTGCATCCGCAGTTATTTGCACTATTGCATGTTCTGCTGTTTACTCGGCAAATTTTCGTTTCTTCCCTGCCAGCACTATGCCCCCTCTTGAAAGGGGGGAATTCCAATCTTATTTTCGACATTGAATTAAACTTTTCTTATTTTTTCGATTATCAGGCTTATCCTCTGTTGGTGCCTAAGAGCTACAATTGCATTTTAATATCCAAGTCTTACGCTGTTTCCCTCTGTGGCTGGCGGTCATCCGCGGTCAAAAAACCCATATATGAGACTACGTTCATTCCGCGAATCTTACATAGCTCCTTGAGCACTGTTTAGCGTTAAAGCGTATGTACAAACGGTTCTGTATCATAATTGGTTGAAGAGACTTGCTTTGTCTTGAAAACGTCTGTCTTAAAATAGGTTGTCATAGGTACGCTAGGTGCTATTTTGAACCGCTAATTACTTATTGGTATCATTTTAAAAATATTTACTTCGTCCTGAAAGTTAGCATCTATTATGTTGAAAGTATTTGTTTTATAAAAAAATGTTTACATCAAAGTCTCCGTGATCGTTTTTATTGATTTTTGCGGTTTTCTGCTTTTTCATTTAACCCCTGCCAATACGGCCTCGGGGGCCAGACGGGGCTAGATGGGGTCAGGCCCCGTCCAAATTTTGGTGAATTTCCATCCTTTCTAATCATGTCATTCTGCATTATATTAGACCACAATGGTACCACAGTGCACTATGGTAAGTTAGAACTTGCCACAGTGCACGTGACATACACGCCCGCTGCACGCATAACGAACCAGGGTTTCGGGGAAAAGAGGGTGCTGGGATCCCAGCTGAGTAGGAGTGCCATACGGCCACGCGAAGAATTAGACATTGCAGTCTGATTCGGCGTCCTAGGAGGAAGACTGAGCTATTCTGTCAACTGACGGCTTTCTGAGCTACGGCATTCAGTGAGCCGTAATTGTTTAAGAGCGCGGTAGATTGTTTATAGTGATAAATATCCTCTGAGTGTCACGGAGACAGAGTCTCTTGACTCGAAACCGCTTCTTTTTCTCTTCCAAGCAGCAGTCCGTTCTGCGAGCCTGTCAACTATCTAGTGTTGAAATTGGGAACAAATGTCTGGAATAGCTAACTTGACCGTCTGCGCGTACCACACAGGACCGAGTCTCCCGCGCAACACGTCCGACTTCAATGCAAGGGGAGTGGGCGGTTCGGGACTTACCTACTTGAGATTACTATAGAGACCGTATTAAGAGGGGGCCATAGAATCTGACTCGCAGGCTATCAGTCAACCATTTAATGCACAAGCATCCAGTAGGCTAACTCCCTGTCAGTACATGGTCCCTTCATAGGTGGGACTGGGAAGGGGCTGAGTGGGGCTGGAGCCCCTCTGGAGTGAGGCATTTCGAAGCATATTTGCATCGAAAGTTATGTTTCAAAAGCACCACTCATTATATTTTCTTTGGCATTAAAAGGAGCCAATTTATCAAGAGCGGCTTATAAATCACAGAAAAAGTATTCGCTTACGCCCATGTGTCGCGGATAATATCGTGCGTCAACCAATGGTGTTTTCATGTTCTTGATAACTGTCTTAGTTAATTTATGTATATTATGCTAATCATTTTGGCATTTACTTATCAGCCAGTTTAAGTAGTCGACTTATATGTCTATGCATATACTATTTAGCCTTGGTGTTATACTTACACAAATTGTTTATCGTTTTTCATTAAATATCCAAAGAAATTATAATTGCTTCCTATATGAAGCGTAATTACTGTGGCTATCACCGAATCATCATATGCGAGCACATTAAGTGCCAGACAAAGGCGTATTATAAGGCCACGGAGGAGCCTGAGTCTGGGATTCCCCCAACGTCGACAGCAGTTGGCAATCGATCCCCAGAACGAGAAATGCCAATACTGAGCTATGAAATTTCTGCCGGTAGGTAGTATATGTGTGTGCGCCTCAGGAGACTCACCATATAGGTCGATATTTTAAAAGGGTGCCAAAGGTGGACGGAAATGTGGGGCCAGGCGGGGTTGTCGCGTAGAATTCCTTGCCACAGCCCCGCCAAGCCCCTTCATAGCCCCCTCTAGCCATATTTGAGTTGGTTAGGCAGGGCTGGTGCTGGCAGGGCTGCGAGGTCTGAATTGTAACTGCCATGAAGTGGAAATGCACACTGCCTACACATTTTGAAATTACGTCGAGCTCGATAACTGCGAGAAGCGGGCAAATGGTTAATAATTCACCAGAGAGAGCGCAGAACTGACCGCCTGATCGCATAATGTCATTGTAATATGATGCTTGCTTCTCATTTCGTTTTAACTGTAACTGGCTTTTATTCAACTGCTCACTTTCGTCGCATATTGCCGGTTTTAAATTGTTTTTGCATTTTGGCTGCAATTTACAAATGCTATGCCTAATATTAGTTGATAAGTGTCTGATATATATTATAAGGTGGATGTAAGAAGACGAAACTTTTATCACTGCTGTTATTCCGGCCGAGAAGCCATCGTGAAATGTTGACAACTAGGGCTTGTCATATTCAAATCCTGCTGTTCCTGAATTTCAAAATCGAATAACAACTGAAATCTTTTAACCTGATTTATACACCTTAATGAACGTTAACAAATAAATAAGCGTTCAGGTCTAGCAACCACGTTTTTGTTTAGGTCCAGCCGCATTTAAATGGACTGAATAGCTTCTATTGGTAATGCGATTTCGGAACTTCGCTGATTAAATGACTAGAAACCCGAGTCTGCTTGGAAGTTAAATGTAATTCTATTATTTGTCGGCAAGCTATTTACTTTGTGCATTGTTCGTTATTATGTCGCGTAACAGCCCCATCCGATCTTTTAGGACAGCAAATTTTTTACGTCTTTCTAAAACAACCGAATGCAAGGTATTTGCCTTATTTAAAACCTTCCGTTTTAGCAACAAAGCTTTATTTGTGATAGCATTCAGAAAAAGATAATAATTTTAATGGTCTCCGTCGCATAAAGCCATTGAAGATTTATCTATTATGCCAGTGGTCCCAGCTATGCCAGACAGAAGGGTTGGCCATGAACACTTGCAAGTAATAAACATGTCAGCACCAGCCCAACCTAGCCCAATCCGGCCCAACTGGAGTGGGTTGGGCTATGGCTGGACTGGGTTGGGCCAAGGTGTGGCATGGGCGGATACGGCCCAGTTGACCTAATCTCCGAAAAAATGCTTAAGCTAGCTCGCCTTTTAACGCTTTCCTCTTCTCCTTTCTGGATATCGCAACCATCGGCTGACATACACGGGCTGTCGTGCCACTACTGATTATAGCAAATCAACCCCAATTACGCTCAACATAGTTTGTTCCTAACCCACCCAGTGAATTACACTAGCAAATGCTTCTCGACACAGTTACGAATATCATACAGTAAGTCGGTTAATTGAAATTATCGGAAACAGATGTTTATTAGTGAATTAAACAACAGTTTAGTAATATAAAAATTGTACAAGATAGAGGTCTTCAGTCCTAAGCTACTACTCCCTTTCGGTTGCCGTGGCTGCTTTCTGTAGACAAAAATGAAAATGGGTTTCCCACTTAAACGGGAACTTTTGTTACTCTTTTAGGGGCAAAAAATTATAAAATTAAGAACGTATATTAAGTAGTTTATGTGGCAGCTTTTATGGGCACATGGAAGGTATATTCTTTAAAATTTACACAGAAAACATTTATGCTGCTTAAGTAGTTAAAAAACCATAATAATATGTGCGTGAAATTTGTTGAATAAGGCGTATTAATAGTACGTTCCAAGCGAAATTACCGTGTCTTCTACCGGTGACAGATTGAGGTTTACCCCTGTGGCGTCTAGTCCTTGAAGTTGCTGAATTGTTGAATTAAATCAAATTGATCGAATTGCCTTCTTGGAGGCTTTTCGGCGTTTGGATCTACTGCTGTACCTGTCTCTGGCTCTGTGGAACAAGATTATGGCGTATTTTCGTAGTTTTACACTTGGACACTTGCTGAAAATTGGCTCAACCTAGTAGCGTCTGTGTATTTCAGAAAAAATCTTACCTATTGGAGAGGATAGTATAGAAGGGACAACTGAAGAATGATCTTGTCTCTGTCTATCCCCTCTCAGCAAAGGCTTTGACAGAGGGGCGTGGGACCGAGCAAAGCAGTCGGCAGATTTCTAATGAACTGGCGCCCATTTCGTCCTCTGACAATCGGCAGCTGGTTTACCTAGACACTGCAGTGTCGTCATCCCTATACTCTACTGCTGTTCACATGTGGCAATGTTGATTTCGCTCCAATTTTTCGTAATTAATGAATCTGCTCAATAGCTTTAGAGCTACTTTGCGTAATTTTCAAATCTCTTTTGTCACAACTGTCTTATGCCTTCTTCATCCACAATTTCTGTTACTGTTAATTGTCAGATCAATACACCAAACGTCCTCTGGGATGGAAAATTATGTCTGATCCAAAATTTTGTGAGATATTCTGCAGAGGCAAACACTGCCCTTACTGTTCGTCAACTCACCGCTTTAAAGCAAACGAGTGCGCCGTGCCGGGACTTTATTCGACGTGGCAAGTAACAATTGTTTTGACTTTTGATTGGCAGGATTACCGATGAAATACTGGCAACTGCGCGACCGTCTACGGAGATTATCAGAAAAAAGAACTTGATAAGTGTTTTTAAACAGTATGCACACTATCAGTCTGTCCCCATTCGTCTTAGACTTCAGATTAAGACAATCATTAACATGCAAATACCAGGCGAGCATCCGTACTGTGGAGATGGCATCAACAAATCAGGCTTTTCCTACGATCCTGAGGTCTTTATGGAGGCCGGCAGTAGGTCAAAATTTTATCTTTCCTTAAGCAGAACAATCACAGTTTTTTACTACAATTTTGCATGGAGGGACTACGAAGTAGGGTCCATTCGATGTGTGCTAGACGCTGTTAAAGTCATGATGTTTGCACTTGAGCAAGGACGAGTAGCTGTACACTGTCATGCTGGCTTAGGTTTTTATATTTTTTAATTTACTCATTTACTAGGACGAACTGGGACCCTTATTGTGTGCTTATTTATTTTTCGTGACAATATGACAGCAAAACAAGCGATTAGATTTGTGCGTGCTCGTCGGTATATCCACTTGCCTCGTAAAATTTGCATAGACCTGGCTCTGTTCAGTCGACGATACAACTGGGAAGGATAAAACAGTTTGCAGCATTCACGCAATCTCTCCGTGGCATTTACCTTGAAGGGTATGATTCTTGTTCAACTGACCGTAACGATTGTTAGAAACAGTACTGATCTATCAACCTACCTACAGCGGCAGTACCTCCGACTTCGCGGCATTGAAACAAAGAATTTTGAAAATCTCCCGAAGGTATGATGATTTTTCATTGTTATGGTATAAAATATTACGCGTCTTCACATTGCTATTGTCTCCTAAATTACACGAGGCATTACACACCCAAATGGCAATATGAAGCCATATGTAATTCAATCATGACGCATGTCACAACACAGATTATTTCTGTGCTTGTAAAGAAAACCGCGTTATGTTGCGTGGGAGGCCGTTGGAGTAGAGGACTATTTTTACCTCTATCCTCATTCGATTTTCGCTGCGTGGGATGACTTCCGTTAAATCCGCTCAATAATGGAACGGCATGGTTTGAATGTCTCCCTGGGGAGGCATCCTTCTCGACTATACTCTTTATTATAAATTATTATCAGATCCCGTTTTATATCTCCCACTGATTTGCTGTCTGACGAAGTCACGAAAGTTATTTTCATAGTGGAGAAGGCGATATTTTCGAAATCGCGAGGTTTCACTCTTACCTCCTCTCCCGTCTTAAGTCCTAGCCCCTTAAAGGTACTGAAGTTCGAAGGGTATTTTTTCGAACACATTTCCTTTCACGTACGTTTATTTCAAAATGACTATCTTGCCGAATTAACCTGCTTAAAATGGGAGTTTGCAGTACACTTCTTTTTATACCAGATTGTCTATGTCTGCTTCCGTCTCCTTCTGAAATTGGCCTATCCTCCGTCATCGTCCAAGGAGATTCACGAGGTATTACCTTGTGATCCTGAGGATCCCCTTTGCGACGGAGTCCTTGAAGACCACTGCAAAGAGTTAGTTACTATTGAATTATTATGCTTGACTCTGCCTATGCAATAATTTAAGGCAAATTATAGAAGGAGATTACTTTCAAGACAAGGGAGACTGAAATTGTCACTTCTGGTTCATTAGCCACCGCCAGCCAGCCATACACAATTCCGGATTTGCAACCTCTGGAATTTGAGCCCGCGTTTCGTTGGTTAGAAATCCTACTCTCTAACCACTTAGCCGCAGACTCGTCCTCTCGGTTGGCAGAGGAGTGTCATCTTCTGCATTTCATTCCTTTGCGTTATGTTAGATGGACAGTGTTATTTGGAATAAACGAGCGATTTGCCTAATTGACGACTTGCGAGTCAGAGGCGTTTAGCAAGTGGGGAAATTTGGCTACAAATAGTTGTCCTTCTTCTCATTGGTGTTGGCCTCTCTGTTGTGAAAATTAGTAAATCTCGCATATAGTTGTCTGTTTACCGCAATTCAAACACAGTTTCCTTTCCACTCCACCCAGACAACAACCACTTCTGGCCATCTTCCTAGTTTTGTTTGGCTCTGCATATTTTCCAAAGCGTTGTTGGAAGAAACCGTCATGTTTTCTTCTTATCATCTTCTACAATATCATGGGCATCACATGTTTTGCTCAAATGCCCACCAACGGCATTATATTTGGAAGTTGTAATGTAGGACTTCGTGAAGATGCATCGGGAGTCATCTGGTTCACTCGATGGCATAACCTGAGTTTCATGACAATACTGCGTGGAGCACTTATTAGAATTTCTGCATGGTAGACTCGCCCAGTGTCTACTAATCTGCTGGTCGCACGCCTTAAGCAGGAACTCGGCGCAAACTAACATGGTAGCTGAGGGTTGGCTTGAAATGGACAGTGAAAAAGATACACAACGTTGGGAAAATATGAAACGATCACCACTTGCCTTTGAGCAGTCCCAATGGCGACTAACTATTTTCTTTCATTCCTGATTCAGTTACTGCTCTATTGACTTGTGCCAAGTATCAATTAATTTAAGTCATTACATACCTCTCCTCTCGATATTACATTTGGTCCCATGTATCAGGGGAGGACTTTACCTCTGCAGGACGAGAGTACGATTGCAGAACTACTTTCCTTACGGGCACTTTTAAGGGCGGTTTGACATTCTTCCATACCTGCACTGCCACTTCATTTCTGAATCGCAATTTCAGCTTACCATGCAATCGGTTACAGTTATACTAGTCTCGTAAGATGGGTCATTAACTTCAGATACAGCATGGTCTTAAAGTCAGCTGCTGAGTTAAACGAAGCAGGTTTCGTCCAAACTTGAGTTGGTTAGTTATTCTTTAGATCTGTATAGTAAACACCATTACTCTGCATTAATGTGTGTTTAGACTGTTGTGCAGACTAAACCTGTGTTTTACCTCCCTCCAGTCTTCAGTCAGATGATGAGTCTCGAACACCTTACTTTCTATCTCCAAAACTGGTGATCCCACTTTCCAAAGGCAGGTTTGACTGGAATATTTTCTTAGTCCTCCTAATAGTGCGTCAGACTCCTGCGCGTAAAAAGGCTGTTCTGGAGGCCTTTTTAAATCTAACGCCGTCCGATGAAGTTTTGAATGTCGTAGAATTGTGGAAGGTGAGTAGCAGCATGGTTTTATCTTTTGTTCTCACCAACTACTAATTCATGCGTTAAACTAAGCAATACATCGCACTTCTTGTGTTTGAAGCCCAAAAGATTGTGCAAGTAGCTGCGCTTGTTGAGGAAAGATTTAGACGTCAAATCATATTCTGATAAATGTTAGGTTTTCTTAGAGCACTGACATTGAAGATTATATATTTCTGTCGTACACTTAGATTTCAAGTCACCAATTGGGTAACTTCATGCTTTCGCTAGTAATCAAAGTCGCCAATGACATGTCGTTCCAACAGAAGTAATGAAAGCCAACTGATTGCTCTATTATAGAAGAGTTAAACAATGTTGAAGAGCGAGCATTCCTAGTTTATACCCGAATGACATTAAAACATAGACGCATGAACGCATCCATGTTTACGCGTTTAAATGTGTGCTCCTTGGGGTTGAGAAGGGGCTAAATTAGCCGTTTAAGAACTAAGCAAAAGTTAACAATCAAAATTCTTATTTTCGCCAATTGTTTAAAAAAACAGCCAGAGTTAATCGCCGGTTTTTCTGATTACGTTTAATTAGTTCGGAACACAACATGAATTCAATGTCAGCATATCCGAAAATGTGGGCTTAAAATATCATTTTTCCAAAAGTGGTTGATAAATATTAAAAGTCAGGCAAGGTTTTGGTAGTTACACATCTATGGGCTGCAATATAACTGCTTTCTGATTGGTTTCGCCCTTGGCTATCTACGCAGACATATGTTTTCTGTCAAAGTTTTTATCGCTTAAATACTCCTCACTGACATGCACATGATGGTATGATAACCATGGTTGATTTCAGTTAGAATAACTCCTGATTAGTTGCCAGGATGTAAAGTGGTCAGGCTTCATCACAGATGGTTCCCATTTTCACTTTCGACGCATAACAGGCGCAAGTATCTGTTATATTTGGAGATCTCGAGGCCTAAGTAAAGTAGGCTAACATTAATCCAATTTTGTGACTTTTTTGAGATAACTAACAAAAACACCAAAACCTCCGGAGATTACATGGCAAAATAACCATGCCTTTTCAGGTAAAAAGGTTCATTCATAAAAAGTACTTTCTTGTTTTCTAATTTTAGGCTCGTCTTAATGCCAATGACAGTCTATGGAAGCATATGTGCAAAGAAATACGGAACCCCCTAACGCTCGTCAAACTACTTTATGATTGGTTTTCCACTTTAAGGGTACGTAGACTTGACAAAGCTACTCCGCCGCAGTCTTCCCACTCAGTTATTTTCCCGTGAAAGACAAACTTTTACTCATAAGTTTGGTGTAACATTGCACTTGGAGTGAAAATGAATCGATCATTTCAATCGGAAGTAGCTCCATCAGAGGATGGGGTTCCACGTTCCTAAGTGGAAACTTCTGATAAGTTACCGGAAGAAAGTCGCTAACTTTTATTTATGAAGAAACCTGCGGGATATCCAGCCTTCGACCAGTTGTGGCCAGAATTATCCAAGTTTACTCGGATACTCTGGTAAACATGGAAGCCAGAAAAACAGGGGAATATTTATGCATATGCTGGTGCTCACCAGTCGGTTCAAATTAAAAAAAAATCAGATCACTTTTTCAACTTTATACTCGCTTCCCATATCTCAATCCTCGAACATGGCCGCATGAAGAATAAAAAACCTATCTGAAGGGATGAACGAACATACTGACAGTGGCCGAAGGAACTTGTTCAACTTGTCTATACGTCCAGTTTAATAAGTCTACGAAGCCAGCCTGAGGTTGCATGTTTTTCAAACGTGAACAAGGCTTTTCGGATATGAAGATAAGATGTTTCAGTAAGCGTATTGATCCGATTGTCGTCTCCGACGCTTCGGAGGCCACAGCATCTTAGGAAGCCAACAGGCTACACGACAGGGGTCCTGGTCAAACACTGGAGTGAAGTGAGATGCTGCCATCCTTTAAGCACTACAGTGATACCCCTTGAAGTCCGCGCTATCCTTTAGGGACTGGTGTCAGCGTGAGTAAGGTCAGGGAACGGCATTGTTACCGCCCGGCTTCATAGAGATAGTCGTCAGCCCCCCAGAAGGGAACTGCTACCGAACAGACGGTGACCGATTTCAGGAAACATTAACCGAAATACTTAAATGCGTTTGCGACTAGGAAGGAGTATTTAAGTGAAATTGTGATATTCATTATCTTGGGACATGATTCCGCGATAGTTCGGACATGCCGGTAAGTTTGCTTTTGAATCCACTTCCTTACGGCCGCCTGTAATAACAGCGCATTTTTAAAAATGACGGCATAGGTAGAATACACTCGCTATATCGATCGTTGGTGTCCTTATAAATCCATGCATGTTCTGTAAAAACCATAGTAAAATATTCTTTCATGCAATCATTTAGTAGAAAAGTACATCTTCAAATGGTATACCAGATGAGAGGATACGATTCTGTTTTAAAAGAATTTCTAATTTTGGGATTTTTTAAGGCCAAACGGTAACCATTCAACCAACACCCGATCTGTCTGTTTACCAATGCACTATATTACGTATACGACATAGTCCACATACGTTAGAAAGTTTTATGAGCCATATATGGTATCTACTTCACTGCATGGAGGGATGTATATTTTCTCCCTAAACTGAAAGCATACAGCTTGTAGGCTGAGCATTCTACACGCAAATACAACGGCTGATAAAGCTGAAAATTATTCTGGAATTGAAAATCTTTTTGCAAAACTGAAATATACGGTTTCATCAAGTATAGAATTCGAAAAAGATATGATTTGCTGCCGAATTAATGTGAGCAGAGATATTTTTATGCATATTTTTACAAAATATATTTGATTTTATAAGGGCTTCAAAAGTCAATATAGAAAATTAACACTACTTATGCAGTTATTTTTTGCCAAATTTGGTGTTGCGGGCGGCCGACTGGATGTCAAGAGCCTGACCTTTCTAAAATACTACGGCATCATGTCGCCTGATGCTCAGTATTGCGAGCCCACCTAAGTCATCCTTCTAGTCGAATATGTATTTCAGAATTTCGACTGGCATTTCACAGGATCGGTTATTGACGTTATTTGCATCAATTCAGCCTTCTTTGCTATTTTAAATTTGGTTGACATTGATGATTTTGCTCATGGTACCAAGAAGCTGTTTGCGGAAGCAGAAATTTCACTAGGCGTGGAGAGTGGCAAAACGCAGCTAAACCCCTGTGCTCTCCCTGTAACGGACTGTTTGGGCCGGGGTCCTAGTTAATAGTCCATAGATAAGTCGAATACAATAGACCTAAGTGGTTATGCTACATGCCTAGGACTTCACTTATTCCGCAGAAGTCGGCACCCAACAACTTAACGTGTTGCTCCTGACCGCAGTTTCGTCAGAGAATTACAGAACTTCTACCGACATCCCAAATCAGGCCGTTTTCTTTCTAATCAGGCGTAGACACTAAGTCAGCAAGCGTACATTATATAATTTGTATTTCTGAAAATTCTTAACTCGTTAAAGGTACCAGCAGTTCGAGAGGAGGATGTCCCAAACTTGTGCTGCAGTTGCCAACAAGAAGAGGACAATGACTTCTTCAAGGATTTATCGAAGGTTCGTGCAGTTTTCTTCTCGGTTTTAACTATGTCTCGTCGAACTGGTGCTCCTACTGTTTAAAAACCTAATCACTTCAAAGGAGAACCTAGACCGACTATTTGCCTTCAATGTCAATAATTGTCTTAAGCGATGTTTTGCGTACATTGTCTGCTTTCAGCCAGTCGGGACACTTCTGAAAACCTGCTCGCGTTTTGTCTTCTATCTTCGACTGCGGAATTTCCAAGATGAAGCGGCCATTATTGAACGGCTGGTTGACATGGTAACTCAGGAGCCCAACTGTGGACCGTCGCCACGCGTTGGCGGTACCCATCCTCAAGCGGTCTGGAAACGGAAACTTTCACACATCTTGCATCATGCTGTTCAGTCCATGGGAGATACCTGATGGTCCCCCACGAGTTAGACCTCTTCCAATGTTAACTTGCCATCTTTGTGATAGGTTGTTATAACATTTTCTATATGCACGATCTACCAAGCATTCATCATAGTAGCCTCCGATTCGTTGTAAGGGCATGGTTAGTCCACAAGTTTTGGCCTTTCCATTTATGTACAATGTTTTCCCCTCCCGCGAATTTAAGTTGTACCGAAGAAGGATTTTCGGGTTCAGATAATGTCTGCTCTTGTTTAAGAACGAATTTACCTGACATACATCCGATCGCCATTTTTATACGACTTCGAGTTCAGTGTATGGTTCAGGATATTTGGAGGTTAAAGGCATTCCACGACAAGCACACATCTATTAACAAAATGCCATTTTTATTCTTCCTTTGATTTTAGCCGAAAAATAGCCCAGTTTGAAGGCCTAATGTGCATCCCTCAGTGGGGGTTAGTGTAACATTCAACGTTCCAAGAACCGAAGTTCCCATAGATTAGAGGCAATGCGACCATCGACTAACCAAATGTTTTACAATCGAGCATGTATGTTTTCGTAAATTTCGCCGTCCCTATGTGGAAAAATTCTACTTCTTCAGTATAGTAAGTGATCGTGTAAGACGCAATGAGATGTAACTGTTTTATTTGAATTCAAAAACGGAGTATTTCTGTAGTCTGAAGTTATGTTCACTGTCCCTATAATGTATCCGTTACTCCTTACCGTTGTCATTTTGAAGTAACTCTTGACAGCTCTAAGGTTGGAGGTCTTATAATGATGTCACTATGTGCTGTGGAGTCTCCAGGCTCAAGAGCCGCTTCCACTCTTTCAAGTCGGGTGAGACGGCGTTTGATTTTCGCCTGGCTCGAGCCATATTCGCCTAAGAGACGAGCAAATTTGGTGCTCAGTGTGTTTAACGTTTCTTCGAGCCTTTGAACCTTGTCTTCCATCGATTCTCTGGTTTCTTCTGCAGCTTTTAGGGCCTCTTCGTCGAGCAAATTGTCCTTGCGCAGCATTTCCTGACCCACTTGCATAAGTTTATCCTTTGCTTCGGGGTATTCTGTGAGTGCCTCCCACAGGTCGTCTTTGCTGAGACAGAAGAGATCCGAGTAACCGACTGAACGCACGTTGGCTGTTCTTCTGTTTCCCGTTTTATTGCCTAGTAAATGGGGCATTAAGTACCACGGGCTGTTAAATGAACTATAAGAGCTTTAACGTATGAAGGACAAGAATAAGAGAAAGGAAGTACGTGCAAAGTATTTCATTTCTGGTTTTAGAAAACTTACTAGAATTAATGTTGTTTGGATAACTTCTCTTTGTTTTGTCCCCTTGAAAATAGTGTTCCATTTCTTTACTAAGCTGGTCTTTCACAGCTTAAGTCTAAAGTGTATAAGTGCGCTTGAATTCTCTTGTGTTCAGTTTTTTGCCTGAGAAAACAGTCCCTGTTAATAGAGACAAGGTTTTGGCAGACTAACGAGTCCTGTGCACCCGTTCCTAACTTCTCCGTTCAAGTTCATAACGAGTCGAGGGAAATTTTCTCGAATGTGGAAGTTACCCAATAAACTGTAAAGGACTGGGAAATAGTTCACTGAGCAGGCGTCGATTTACAGAAGATTACAGAGAGGTTTACAGCCCCTGGCTTGGTGAGTAGAGCGTTGGAATTCTAACTAACAGCTCGCAGGATCGAGTCCCAGGTGTTCCACACCTCAGCACTGGGTATGACTGGCTGACGACGAACAATACGCCAGAAATGACCATTCCAGTCTCCCTTGTCTTTGTCAATAATGCTGTTCTTCCACATCCTGACTCAATACGCCATCGGATTTATGATGTACAGATTCGTAACAGAGACGGGAGACCGGACGGTTCATGTTTATTTTATCTGTCTTCATTGGCAATAGCGCATCTCGATTCACTATTGCCTCTCCACTAGTTGCCACTCGTAAGGATTTTGAACCGAAATCTGAATGCAAGATGGGATGCCCGCATTGCATCCTTGTTCTGACCGGAAGGGAAGGTGGAAAAGAAAGGGAGCGACCATCACGTCTTCATGATTTTCATCGCTTGCGCTCAGTCGGGATAAGGTGTCCGGAGCTCTAAACTACAGCGTGGGCACATAATGAACCGCAAAGTCATAGTTTTGAAGGCTCGTACTTCGGCACTGTATTCTCCTAGCTACGTTCTGGGGAACACCATGGTTAGTACCCAAAAGAAACTCCAGCGGTTGGTGACCTGTATGCAGTGTGAAGGGTCTGCCATAAATGAACAGGTGAAATCTCTGCATGGCGAAAATAATGTCCAGTCCCTCCTTTGCGGTCTGGCCATAATTCCGTTCCGCCTTCGTCGCCGACCCGGCGGCATGTATGATTAGTTGGATTCCCCCATGTGCATCCTTCCGGAGGAGCACTCCGCCTAATCCGTAATCAGAGGCGTCTGCTTGGACAATGGTTTCTTTGTCAGCCTTAAATAGTGATAGCATAGTCGAGTCGCATATCTTTGCCTTTATCGCATCAAAAGCGTTTTGACATTCGGAAGATCAAAAAATTCCACGTCCTTGCACAGAAGTCGGCTGAGTGGAGGTTTCAGACTGTTCAGCCTAGTGATGAAGGGGCCGTAGTAGCTGACCAACCCCATAAAGGATTGCAGCTCCTTCGTGTTCTCCGGTACTTTTGCGTTCCGGGATGCCTCACTGTTTCTAAATCAGGTGCACGCCCATCCTCGTTGACTATGAACTCGAGATAGTAAATCGACCTCCGCAAAAATTCCCCTTTCTCCATATTGATCTTAAGCCCATAGTCGATAAAATTGTGCACAACGTGGTCTAGCCTTCGACTCAGCTCTTCCTCTGAGCTACCAACAACCAAAATATCGTCCATTTATGCTATAGTTCCCGGGGCATTCGTAAGCATCGTATCCATGATCTTCTGGAACACACTGGGCGCCCTTTTTTACGCCAGAGTTTAGGCAAGTGTATCTGAAGAAACCTTTGTGCGTATTGATGGCCAACATTTCCTGCGATTTCTCGTCCATCTCAATTTGTAAGTAAGCCTCGGATAGATCCCTCCTCGCAAAGACCTTCCTTCTATTTAAAGTAACAAATATCTGGTCTAAGGTTGGTAGCGGGTAATGATAATCTTCTAGTGCATCGATCATGCGCCTGGAATAATCCGCACACAATCGTACTTTTCCGTTAGTTTTCTTTACCGCCACGACTGAAGCAGCCCAAGCTGAATTGTTGGTAGGCCTGTAGCCTCTCCAGTTCAGCTTCTACGGTCGACTGTACTGCAAAGGGAATCCATCGGCTTCGTTTGAAAACTGGCTTTTTCTCCGGCTTTACTTTCAAACTTTCCTTCATCATCGTGCACCTTCCGTCCGCGTTCTCCATCCGTTCCATACACTTCTTCATCAGGACCTCTTAAGTAGTGTTGTGCACCGCTCTGCAAATTTCGTCGAAGGGACGGTTCCACAATCGCAGTTCGGATGTCGTCTTATTTCCGGGAAGATTGTTACGAGTCTTCGACACATCGATAGATGCAAGGCAATTATTATTTCGAAAACTGGCAGTCGCCTGAAAAACGCCTTCCAATTCTATACGCGTCTCGTTAGACGCCCATGCTATGACCTATGATGGTCTCGGTTCTGAAGGACCGATATCGTCCTACGTGCGCATGGTGATTATGCTCAGATGAGCAGCTGTACCTACCTGCAGTGTGGTCGGTTTCCCGTTAATATTCACTGGCAAGTATTTTCGGTGTTCACAATTTAGTGCTAGGGAATCGTCTTCTAAAACGACCTGCCAATTCTTTCTTGGACTAGCCTGCGCTGCTCTACAGTGTTAAGCCATATTGCCAACACAAGGACATTTGTTGCACTTCCTACTACGATAGGGGCATTCACTTACGTAGTGCCGACCGCTGCACTGCCAGCACGCCGTGTTCGGCTTCCGTGAAAACTATTCTGTCCTGGTTTTCTCGTCCTGCTATCGAAGACTTAAGCAGGCTGAGTACTCGAGCTTCAAATACGTTGGGTGTCTTGCTTGATATTTGTGATTCGGACGCATTCTTTTGCCAATTCCTGTACTGCCACATCACCTTTCTGGTCTAGCTGGACGAGACACCGCGTACGCACATGTGCATCTTCTGGCAATGCCGACGACTTAATGAAAGATAGTGCTTTAATCTGTGCGCCGGTGGCCTGCTCTGACTCGGATTGCTGAAAAGTGTCATTAACTCGACCGGTCAAACCAAAGTATTCTTCTTCAGGCTTACCTCTCAGCTTGAAACATTCAAAACGTCGATTGAATAACGACTTTGTAACAATCCTTTACTCAGGTCAGATCGGCAAATGCGGCGTACGTTTTTCCTGAATCTTCTATAGGGATGGATTTAGCTGGGAAACGATTAATAGGAACCAAAACGCGTTGGTTGGTCAGTTTTAAAATTATGTCGGTGAATTTTGGTACAAGCAGAATGCCGGTATCTAGTGCGACTCACTGCACATGACGCATAAAACATCGCTTACGAAATGAAAGAAGAAATGCATGTACGCATATTTTGCCTCGCTTATGCTACATATATTATAGCGTTATAATCCAGAGGCAGATGAAGAATGGGGTGAGAGGGCGAGTCCTTGGACCAAGTTGTACTTGTGCTGACGTCTCGGAAACTTCCTCTTTCCCATCATCATAGCAGTGTAGCTGCTGTTGTTGCTGGTCATGGGTTATTCAAGCTTGCTGCACGCCTTGTGCTATAACCGTACTAGTTGCACAAACTTTGACCTGCTCGTTTGCTGCTAACTTTTATCTCCTTTAGATTAATCACTGTTGGGCCAGCGTGACCTTTTGCCCCCTTTGAGGCCGGCGTGGTTGCAGCCCAGACGAAGTGCCTGTAGGCCTCCCCCACTTCAGTTGGCGGGCTGAGCAATCGTTACAGGTCGTGCAAGTTTCGGCCTCGTGGGTGCAACTGTGAGACTGGGCTCGACGTTGGCCATGTGACTTCCGGCCACCCCTTCCCTTCTTTTCCGCAAGCGCCGGCTCTCGGCCTCAGGCGCTCGCCCGCCCTATTGGTCTGTCCGAACACATTCGAGCATTGAGCGTAGCGCTTGGTAGGCGGGATGCGGGTCTATATCTTGGTCAAGTGTGCCAGTCGAGGGCCAAGTTTGGGGCACCATTCTGGCCATCTTCTCATTGACTTGGCCAATCCTCCTTGTTTTCCACTAGGCGAAACCATAGTTTAGTTACTGTACGTAGCCATAGGCCAGAGGCAGCTTATCCTTGCGGTTGATGGCAAGTTGGTGTTCATGTATCTTTGTGCCAAGGCTTTTGACCGTTTCACCAACATGCCTCGCATCGCAATTTTGACATGGTATGGAAAGACTGAATTCAACAATGTCCTGGAAGCCTGCACGTGTAAAAGAGGACTAGCTACTTGGAACTCTGTAAAACCGCTTCGGCAATTAGTCCAGGCAGAGGCGAGATATGTCCCCTTCTTTTCCTCGTAGACTTGACCGTTGAGTGCGAAGACAGTCGTAAGACACAGTTCTAGGAGCTTGACGGTGTGCTCTCGCTTGATGCCTTCGTCTCTCTATCATAATTTTTCCAGAGAAGGTCACCGACTGCGGTGGCCAAACGTAGTGGGATGGAGGTGAGTAGTGAGATTACGTTAAATGACACCAGCACCTCGTTTACCTCTACTTCGAGATGTCGAATGTTGGGTCAAATAATCTTCAGGCGACTTCGCCATCCACTCCGAATCCTTGGTAAGGTAACGCCGTTGTTGATAGAGCCATGTTGAGAGCCCAAAGCGTACTGTGCCAAGGAATGAAACAATGGGGTGTAGGGACACTCCGGCTTGTTCGCTCTGGGCAGGTGGTGGAAGCGCGCCGTCGCAGCATCAGTAACTTTTGTGGCCAGTGTTTCTCTTCTCATGAGTGCTCTCGTCTTTGTCGGTTTGTCTATTGTATTGATGATGTTATTTGCAATGGTCCAGGAGTTGTATTTCAGCCGTTCGAAGTGGGGGAGGCCAACAGACAAGTCATCTTGGCTACAGTCCCGCCGTCCGCATAGGGGGCAAAAGGTCACGTGGGCCTGTTGGCGGTCAACCCCGGAGAGGTCAAAGTTGGTTAGCAGCTGACGGGCGGGTCAAAGATTGTGTGATTAGCGCCGTTAAGTGTGGCGGGTAGCAAGGTCGAACAACCCACGACCAGAAAGAACGGCAGTCGCACTACTCTGGTGATAAAGAAGAGGGGGTTTCCGAAACATTAGTGCGAATAAAATTTGTTCCATGAATTCACTCTCTATTCTCCTTTTTCGTCTTTTTCAGAGGCTGATAAGCTCCATAGAGTATGTGGACCTGTGGCAGCTGTGATGTCGTCTATTGTGGCCAAACTGGGAAGTCGGGCTCAACCCGTACACATGAGCACCAGCTAGCGGGAAAGAGGCAAAATAGTCTATTCCAGGCGGTAATACATACTGGACACTGGGGACAAAGATGAGTGACAGAACACTCGCACTTTTAGCGCCTGCCCAATAAGTGAGGGCCGCGAATTCCTGGAAGCCATGCACTCAGATGAGGCATGCATCAATCGGCATATCAATTTAGATGTTACGTACAAATTTCTCAAGGACAGATGGAAGCGAGGACAGCCAATGCCGAGGGGATAATGGAATGTGATTGGCGACCACTGGTGCAAGCTTCGGCCAACCGCAGAATCACTTGTTTGATACGGTTAAATAGTTAACTGTTTTTATACATGACCCATAAGTTTGATTAGGAACTGGAGAACCAGCGTCGGAAATATACGCAATAGAGATTATTTTGTTCTCCAAGAAACTCGCCGAATTTAAACCGTTGCGTACATACATAATATTGAAAGTGAGTTTACCGACTAGTTTATGAGACACGTTCTTTCCGTTACGCCACGGGTCTCAGTTCAGAGCACTAGTAAGCATTCGCATAGCGGCAAGCAACTATGTGGAAAGAGCATCGCCAAAGACAAGGGAGTTTTGGGTGGCCACATCCGGCTCACTAGGCGTCGCCAGTCGACCCTACACAACCCAAGAATTGCAAGGTCTGACTCTACCATAGAACCACGGGCCCGTAGTTTTATCGAGGTTCTTTCCGCCATATATAAATGTATATACACCAAATAGCGGAAAATAGGACAGGCCTATGTAATTGCATTAAAGAGGAAGACGCAGTTCGGTGTATAAAACTGCACTTTTAGATGATGCAAACCCTATGGCATTCATTAATAATTGATCTGTCCGAAAATGTGAATTATATTTCATAGCCCTATCTCTAGATAGACGTTAACATGCGCCTAAAAATCCAAAAAAGTGTTCTTTTACCTTGCCGCAGGAGCTTGAGATTTTGCTGTTATTCGTTTCCGAACACCGAAGTTCCGAGCGTGAGAAGAACACACCCACTTAGTTCACTGTCTCAGATGAGGCCTCCTTCCACTCCCCCCCCCCCCCACTAACAAACGATACGTCAGGCAAAATACTCATTAAGCACACGCTTCATCACAAATTGCCTGCGAATCAATTATCGATTTGTTTCTAGTGTTCGCGCTTTAGTAAAATGGCTACTTCCAAAGGAAACACCCCATGAAAAAGGAGTGCTCGTTAATAAAATAGGCCATAAGGGGGACTGATATCAGTTCACCTACTTTCGAGTAATCGGACAAGAAAGTTATGAGACTGATAGGACAGTTCCTCGGGGATGTTTCTACCGTCATTGGTATAACTCTGGGCTGAAATATAGGCTTACCGGCAATGTTGAGGATGGAAATCTCGCCGAAGACACTGCCTTCACCAAGGGTGACAAAAATTGTCTTCCCATCGTCCGCAACCACACTGATTTTACCCCGTTTTACAATATACATCTCCTTCCCAATATCGCCCTTACGGCAGATATAGTCACCAGGAGAGAAGACCTGAAGTTTCAGCTTCAGAACCAGTTCAACAAGCAGACCTGGATCACAATCCTGCGAGGTAGATAAGAAAAAAATGAGTCAGATTAGAAGTACATGAAGAACGAAACATGATCCCAGATGGGAACTCGACGGTCAAAACAAATTTCTGTTGGGCAGAAAGAGTGCTCAGATACCATTTACGCTGGCAGAGTGGAAGTCAGCATACTCGAAACAACAAAGAGGGACAAAAGGGACTTTCGCTATCTCACCATGTTATTTTGAATCTCTCTAGCTGAATTAGTCATTGATAGCTTTAGGTTGGTCAACAGGAGCGGGAAGCTGGAAGGTAGTCGAGACTTCCTAAAGTGCGAACTTTTGTGGAGTGCAGTTTCGCATAGATACTCAACACTCGGTTCAGCTTAGGCGAAAACAAACAACCGCAATAGTACGAGAGTACCCCAGCTTCGTACGCGTAAAAGTGCAACCGAGTTTGAGACAACCGCGATTCAGGACGAGTCGTTTAGAATTTGCCGGCTCAAAAACTATAGAAAACAGTAAATAATGAGAGAAGTAAAATAATTTCCGGGATTCGAAGCCCTTGACAGATGTTACGTTGCTCATGGACAGTGTGAGCAGGATACGCATAACGTCGGTAACTTAAATTGGGAGAGTTACCAGCGCTTTGTGATCAGACCCGTGCATTTCGACACATAATTCGGTATAGGAGCGTTCGTTAGGGGAAAGAGCTAATTGCGGTGAAGTATGATAAGAGGGATGGATAGAATGATGGGAGGGTAGGGTGGTGGGCAAGTTAAGCGACGCGAGCTAGGGACAGGCGTCGGTGTCGGCATGCTGAGGGATGGAGGGTGTGGGTAAGCTAGTTGGTCGATTATTTTGTCAGGCGGCTTGGAGAACATTTTTCGGTAATATCTGACTGTGCAGCCATGCATACGGAATATAATACTGTTGAGCTACTGATTGGCTTTGAGTAGGCGTAATTACGTTGACTTGGTGTTTGTCGTTCCCTCCTAACCTTCGAGTTGTCTGGGTTAGGGGTTGGGGTTTAGGGTTAGGGATTAAGAGTTAGGGTTAGGTGCTAGGGTTGGGGGCTAGTGTTAGAGGTTAGGGTTAGGAGTCAGGGTTAGGGGTTAGGGCTTAGCGCTAGGGTTTGGGATTAGGTTCAGGGCTAGGGATAGTGTTAGGTCTACGGTTAAGGTTTGGGTTAGAGTGAGGCCAACCCTAACACTTACCTTATCCCTAAGCCTAACCCTCACATTAATCGAAACCGTTGGACTAAAGATACCTTTAAACCCGAGCACAAAACCGTCCCTTTCCCTTTCAGCAAAGTGCAGTTGTGTTGTTTCAGCAGAATCTCACCGTAGAAACGATTGGTGAGCGCCCCTCTACCATAATCTTGTCTACGCACAACAAATCAGCAGTTCAGCAGTTCATCAGATGCCGCTGTACACCATGCCGACTGATGTTGACCACGCGTTGTCACTTTTACTGGTTGCTTGGATCCCTACTGTATTTTCATCATTTGCGCTCCAGTTTCAGCCCAATGTTTTATTGCACACTTCAATAACTCATTTTTTCCCCAGCACTTTCACAGCCATCTCACTGACGTGTCTGGTTGCCCCACCCGTGAAATCCCCTTTACCACCATTCCCGTATTACAGACCGTCGGGGTTTAGCCATTTCAGGGACGGCTGTAAAATCAGCTCAAACCCGTTTTTCATACAGTCTCACCAGGCTCTTCATTGGACCGGCAAAATAGTATACGCGCGGGCTCTGTGAATAGGATCGGAAGTGGCTTAGCCATGGTTACTTATTGTGTCGACTAATGGGCCGAGCTGCGCGCATCTCGGGCAATGCGGTCCTGATGATCTGATGGGGAATTTTTAGCTTATAGGACAGGACTGCCCCTTCTAATATGCGGTCATCACTAGCGTCTTTTGGCTCCCCCCTCGCAGCTTCCTGTCGACTGTCATGTCCACTAGTTCCGTCATTGCTCCTCCTGCCTTATCGCCGCAATTAGTTCCTTTACCACATTAGCATTCTCCTGTCAAGTTATGCTTATGAAATTCACGGGCCTGACGGTTCGCTGAAACGTAACTTCGCTTACGCTAACTTGCTCCACTTTGAAGGCTACTTTTTGCAGAACTGGCTGAGCAAACCAGACAGTTTCCTATAGTATTCAGAAAGTGCTCTTGTTCCACAATATATAAACCTTGAATGATTTAAAGCACAACAAATATTTTTATTTATATCCTCGATATTCTGGTACGATTTTGATCTGGTGTAAAGCGCTCACAGTTAACTGAGTGACGAACTCATGGTGCGAATTTCGAAAACAATTCCAGTTAACTCATGACACATGGTTTTCAATTTAGATAGACACCTTAGCAAGTAGCTGTCTAACACTGATTGTTTGACTGCAGGTGCGTGACCGATTTCTGGTGCTGTTACCTCCTTTGGCACGTTCTCACTGCCCTTTTTAGACTGATCGTGGAATGGCTGTTTCAGGCAAAAGTTAAACCGGCCTTCCAATATGTTGCACTGAACAAACCAGACAGTGTGCAGAATAACAGCGCTCAGCAAAACTGCTGGTCTACCACACCTAAAAATCTAAAAAAATATGGAGGGCCTTCGACGGGCATGTGGGTAGACTGACCCAGCTCTGTATCGGACTTATTCTACCTTCCTCCGGCCAATCTTAAGCCCGACCACCGTCCGGGCTGGGCTGCAAACACGTGCGCAAGCACACGCCTAGTGGGTCAGTGCCTCGCCCCACGCACTGCCTGTCGTTGCAGCTTGGGTCTCCATTCATAGAAAAGTGGGCGTACACCGATTAATTGACTTCCCGAAGCAAAATAAAAACTCCGAAACTCCGACGATATCCCTCTCTGCTTTCATATCCCTGCCGTGGTCGGCCTGCTAGATGGTTGCCTGTTCGCACTCTTATCTAGAAATTCCGAATATGTTTGCTCTAGGAAGTCAGTACACCCGTATTCATCTATTTCTGCATAAATATCAGCATTAACAGCTGTTTGGATTATGTGACCTGATTAGACAACGCTGAGAAAACATTTATGCTGCTCGGTTAAATAGAACATGTATATCAAAAATAGTCGGAGTTCCTGAGGTAGGCTTGAAGAACTGAATTGGAGACCTGCTGTACATGGGCGCGCGTCAGATGTTTCAGGGAAATTCGATATTCTCGTTGATGGTAAGATGCACTGTTAATAACGTTATTGTCCTAGAAGATAGACAGAAACCTATCTATGGTGACAGAATGTAGAAAACCATGGACATAACTGCGTTAACGTGCAATTTCACGCGTTCCTTCATAGTGTTTTTGTTTCATCAAATAAGGGGTACTAGTTAAAACTACTTACCCTTTCGGCCCAACCTGCCGGAGGGCGTGACGATTTTCAAGGCAAGCCCACACAGAAAGACGTTGCGATAGCCTCTCAAGCTGACTCGCGTCATTTTCTGATGGACTGGCCTACCGGCCTTAAAGACTTTTGTTTATTAGAATCGTCTGCACCACTTTCAGTCTGGCCATAGCCATGCACTCAGAAAGCTACATAAGGTATGAGATATGAGAACGTTCACTACATGGACTCAGTTTAAACATGGATAATCAATAGCTGAAATAGCTTCAGAAAAAAATTCAAACAGTGGTAAAAGTTATTGGCGCCTACGCTAATTTACTTGGTGGAAGAGGAGGCCCTTTAGTAACCATTGCATACCTGAAATATTTTGACCCGTTTCAGTGTATCGTAATGGACATGAATCGCTATCTCGGCCTTCAGTTTGTCCGGCAATATACCGAGCACGTTTTCTTCCTCCAGTGACTGCTTATTGGACCAGAGGTAGTCAAACCATTGAATTACGCGCTGTTCTAAGTCCTTGCTCACTTTGCGATACTCCATGTACCTATTTGGTCAAAGAAATATGTTATAACTCCAATAATAAGTGTAGAACTTGGCTCAATAACCTCTACATACTTGTGTTCACTAAACGGTCTTCCTACACAGTATCCGGGAAGGCTGACGTAGTAGACACTATTTTGCATAAAACTATCGAAATCGATTTTTTACAGAATAAGCGCATTCTGAAGCTCTATCAAGCAAACGTACTTAGTTCCTCAGGAGTGCTGGGAAATAGAAATTCAAGGGAAGTTCAGCTAAATCTGTTTATTAAAACTCTCGCGGGTAAATTACAATCCTTTCAATGAAAAAGTTGCTCAGATGCGTACCCGCAGTCTAGGACATGTATTAGCATAGGAAATTGCACGAATATATTCCAACGTCCATTTTCGCTAAAATTTACTGATATTTTACTTGATATAATTACATAAACACGATTTCTGCACAAGAAAAGGGCATTTTATTGAAGGGAGTGGATGAGCGAACAAAATACTCAACTGAAAAGTCAAATTGGCGAACACTTGTTTTCGATACCTCCTCATCAGGCCAAAACGGTTACATAGAAGTTTAAGTTATGCGAATTACATGGCTTATAAGCGATTCGGGGACAATTAACATCCATCGTTCCCACGCCACTCGCATGACGGGGCGTGCTATGGCGTGGTCGGCGTGGCGTGGTCATTGGGTCAAGGGGGGCGAGGGAGAGGGGGGCATAGGCTGAGTACGTCGTGTACGTTGTGCACACACACTGCCATCAAGAGTTTGGGGCGACGCTGGGGTCGGCATTGGCCACGGAAAACAGAACGCCTGTGTCAGAGTCTTCTGACAACATAGCACTGGATTGGCTAGCCGTATAGCCACTGCCTGATGAAAAGTTACCGAAAACACATGTTCGCCAATTCAACTTTTCAATTGTAACATGGGAATATTCGCTGAAAATGTTCAACGTTAAAGGCGTCCAGAAATTCTCTCCGCAGTTTCCGCTATCAGATTTCATGAGATAGGTCAAGTACTGTAATTAACAGGGCAACTTTTCAGGGACCCAACTCGTACTGGGAAGGAGATTACATTGCTGTCGAAGGTATTTTGCGAATTTCTTGAGGGTATGACCTTCGATGCATCATTCATTAATAGAAAAAAGATCTGGAGCCCGCGTACAAAAAGTTCAAGAAATTAGGGATTCTGACATTAAGCACAACGAGACGAGCTGACCCCGTAAACCCATATTGACTCAAGCACAAAAAGTCAGTCTGCTCGAAGTTTAAATATTAACTAAGTGCTATAGCAAATTTTTATGTCAGTCTACAAACTTGGAAAGCGAGCTCCCCATCGCCTCATTTGAAGGGTCTTCTCTTCTCAGAGACAGACGTCCCTGATCGTTGATAATAGAGAGTTCTGAGCAAATTTTCTTATTCGGAAAAGTGACTAGGAAAGTTTTTTTACGGCATAAGAAAAGGTTGCCCAGATACGTTAAACGCACTCTTCTGTCACAGTCCTCGATGGAAAACGAGACCTACCGTTTTACTGAATCCATCTGTGACTGAAAGTCTGTCTTTGCGGCGTTCATGTTGGCAATCATGGCCCCGACGTTGCCCACCACGGTGGCAAAAATGAGCACACCAGCCAGAAAGTCGATTGTGATGAAAACATATTCCCCATCTCGTACGGGCTTTGGGGTCTCACCGATGGTTGTGAGGATGAGAGTAGACCAATAAAAGCTGTAAGAATACTCCGAGAAGATATTGTTCCAGCGCTCAGTCAAATTACACGGGATGTCGGTGATGTCATCGGTACTTCGTGGTGGGTAGACAAAGGAGTTCTGGCAGAGTCCTAAACGAAAGCAGATTGTGTATACTGGTTCATCTGAGTACTGCAGACCTCTTCCCAAAACTCAGACATAAAATAGGATTGTGACCCGTTATCAGAGTACCGAAAACATCCATAACTAACTTTCTTGCTTAATTTGTTGTCTGAGAGTATAACGGGGAAGAAAGATAAACCGGGTTCTGAGCAATCCAACATGCCAGACGTTCAGAGCTCAGTGTCAACTAATAATTTACTAACCAGTTAAGCTTTTTCAAGGCATCCGGAGCGACTTTCGGAGGACCTGATACACTCACTTGGCGCAGGTCACTTTTATAATGACGTCTAAGGGCTAACCTTGTCTTAGTTTAAGATGCAGAAAAACCAACGACTTGATATAATAATTCTGAATTTGCGCAAGCTATAATGAACACAACTTTGGTGTGATGAATAACAAACTGCATAAAGTCGCGCGCTTGGGCCATACGAGGCTTTCTAGTTGGGCTACGAACCGAACTCAAGAACCTCACCAATTGCCTAACGTCTCCGCCGTAAAATCCACTCACACGTGAGTATGGAAGACGTGGTCGCTGGACTCGTGCCTGGACAGCTGTCTGGGACGGTAGTCTGGCAAGGAGATTGTTGATCTGCTGTACTTTCTGCGGGTTTGTCTAGTTGGACAGCCGAAGCCCACAAGATAAATTTGCCTTGATAACCGATCTGACTAGAATATGCTTAAGTGTTTCCGGTTCTGGCCCATTTACCGCTTGAAGAAAGAGGCTTTTTAAACTCTAGAGACCAAACGGTGGATCAAAATGCAGCTCTATTAACGGTAAGCACTGCACCATTGCACGGATTTTCAGTGCTTATCTTGATAGTTATGTAAACCTGGATGCTGACCCCGACATCACTGTCCTTCAAAGATATCAATAAGGGTAATAACGCACCTGTTCGTTTGCTGACCTCATAATAGAGCCTGACAAGGAGATTGTTGATCGTCTGTACTTTCTGGGAGTTTTTCTAGTCGGTCAGCCGAAGTTCACAAGATAAATCTGTCTTGATAACCGATTTGAGTAGAATATGCTTAATTGTCTTCACTTCTGGTCCATTACTGTTTGAAGAAAGAGGCTTTTTAAACCCTAGAGACTAAGCAGTAGATCAGAATGCAGCTCTGCTAACGGGGTGTGAAGCCACTGAAGTTTCCGCTTTGTCCATTAAGGCACTTTTTCCGATAGGCCCTTCGCTGTACTGTAGTTTCAAGTCCCTCTATTAGCCAAACATCATGGAATGCACTGTTTCCCACCATCCTCGCCCCTAACGTAAACTTAGTTGATGGATTTTATTCGTTTATTGAAGGAATTAACCTGCAAATTCGGCTTCTTTAGTTTCGGTCACGAATATGTCGTCGACGCAATAACTGCCAAATCGAGTCCAGTAATAAATTCGTTCTTTTGAGCTTTCTTTTACTCTTCAATAACAATACTTGTCATCAGTCGACCCAGATGTGATCTTCTGGCTAGACCGTCCATCTACCCGTATAGTTTTGCGTCTAGGAGGGAATGTACACTCGGTGCACATTGCGACAGCAACCCTATAGACATATTGGATCCGATGCTTTATTAGATTTCGTCTTTATCAGCGGATTCAAAAGCACTACTAATCCTTTCACTCATAGCCACGTCCTGAAGAGGAATAACACAAATGGAGAAAACGCATGCATGCTTTCGTGATTGTCGCCCTTCATAATCTTCAAAAAGAGCTTTTTGTTTGGATGGGAGATGGTAATCTAATTTTAATCGACTTGAGTTTCTCTGTCAGGCATTCTGTTATTTAGTGGCAGATTCAGTTCTGCAGACCTAAGAATGGGCGCATTTAAACGTCCTCCTATGGGATTTTGGTGGGCCATAAAGTGGAGGGATATGCTCGCTGTTGGGTTAAATCCTCTAAACGTAGCATCCGATTGTGAAACCGACATTCTTGTCCTTTTAGCGATTAATTAACTTAGTTCCGACCTAATTAATGACATCCTTCAAGCCATCTGTTTATCCCAACCCGTTTAAATTCCCGTTAATTTGATTAGATGTTCCCGTCTATCCCCCGGCAACGCTGTTTTTTTGTAATATGGAAGAGTACTCTCCCGTCCCCGCCTGCTATGCGTATGTGGATGCATATGCTATCCTTCGAAGTAGGCTAAGGTCTGGTTGTTGGATCTCATCGGTTTTTGACTACATTTCTACTCACAACTGGGCAGGTCTTCGGATTGGGAAAGAAAGCTAAAACTCTGGAACAGTGTACAAAGTACTAGTGTGTTGAACAATATCAATGCAGAGTGGTACACTTCCCGAACTAGACCGTAGAGCAGCCCTGTTAGTTGTTTCGTCTGCTGTAAACCCTGGAGAAATGTGAATATTTTCGACGATCATCTGAACATATCCTTCGAAGTTGACATTCTCTTTCCACATTATGGAGTTGCTTGTTGTTGCTCTGAGTGGCACGCTGGCTCACCAGTGCTTAAACGAACGTCTTCTGTGCTGAATGCCAGCGTAGGTTCCCAGAGGTTACTTGCAAACTGTCGAAATTTTGTCTCATTATCTTCCCAGCTGAAGGTGTCAGTGCAAACGCATTTATCCAGCCAAAACTTGTGGAAAACACGCTTATGTTTGCAAAGCAAGTTCCTTAGTCCGTTTCTTAGGTTTAGTCCTCCTAGAGACTGCACCACCGCACGGATTTTCAGTGCTTATCTTAATAATTATGTAAACCTGGATGCTGACCCCGACATCACTGCCCTTCAAAGATATCAATAAGGGAAATAACGCACCTGTTCGTTTGCTGACCTCATAATAGAGTCCGGCAAGGAGACTGTTGATCGTCTGTACTTTTTGTGGGTTTGTCTAGTTGTACAGCCGAAGTCCACAAGATAAATTTGCCTTGATAACCGATCTGACTAGAATATGCTTAAGTGTTTCCGGTTCTGGCCCATTTACCGCTTGAAGAAAGAGGCTTTTTAAACTCTAGAGACCAAACGGTGGATCAAAATGCAGCTCTATTAACGGTAAGCACTGCACCATTGCACGGATTTTCAGTGCTTATCTTGATAGTTATGTAAACCTGGATGCTGACCCCGACATCACTGTCCTTCAAAGATATCAATAAGGGTAATAACGCACCTGTTCGTTTGCTGACCTCATAATAGAGCCTGACAAGGAGATTGTTGATCGTCTGTACTTTCTGCGGGTTTGTCTAGTCGCTCAGCCGAAGTCCACAAGATAAATCTGTCTTAATAACCGATGTGAGTAGAA